ATTATTATTATTATTATTATTATTATTATTATTATTATTATTATTATCAGAATCTGTTTATTATCGCCATGTCAATGAACGAGGTTCACAAACAAGGAATTTGCTTTGACATAAGGTGCGAATAGTAATAAAGTAAAAATAAAGTAAAAATGAAGTAAAAATGAGAACATTACATAAGACATAAGACCTGTGTACACCCACAAATAAAGTAAAATTAAAACATAACATAACCATATGTACACCCATACAATAGAAAACAATAAAAATAAAAAAAACTATTATTATTATTATTATTACTATTATTATTATTATTATTATTATTATTATTATTATTATTATTATTATTATTATTGCACATATTTTTGAGTATTTGTGTGCGATGAGCGGATGTGCATGTGGGCCTCTTCACATTAAAAGATGAACTTGGCGCATTGAGACTGTTTTAAAATGTAAGTCTATTTTTTTCTGTTAAACTGGTTTTCTGATAATGGTTTTTAGAGCAGTCACCAGTTTGATATTCTCTCAGGTTTCATTTGTTTCCATTAGCGTTAAATTATCATTTAAACTATAAACTTTTACATTAAGAGAAAACACGTGAACATGTTTAGAGTTTATTGGAAAGTTGCAGTCTTGAAGGTTATTATTGTGTAGATTTTTGGTAAAACGTGTTTTTAAATGTTACAGCACTTAAAGTTTAGGAAAGCTCATTAATTAGTGACGTCACAGTCATAAAAGTATAAAAATTGTTTTTTGTTTTTTTTTGTCACATTTTGTTGTGGAAGAGGAAGCCCTTGTTTTTAAAATCTGTTTGGACTCTTTGGATCCGGCCGAACCCGAACTTTCCGACTCTCGTGTCACGTGACGCGCCGGCGGCCGCACCTGCTCCAGCGGCGGCCGCTGATTGGCTGAGGGGGCGGAGGCGCCGCGCGCTTCTGTGCGTGTCAGGAGGCGCTGATCTCAGAGCGGCCCGACAGCACCGAGGAGAGCAGGACCAGAACCTTGGACCAGCAGGACCAGAACCCTGCCAGAGAGGTCCGTCCGCCCCAGAGTCGCGCCGAACCGTTGCCATGGAGACAAGTCCGCTTCAGACCCCCGGACCTGGTTTTGTTGGCTTTTAACTGGGATTTAAAACCAAAAGGCAGAAGGTGAGAAGTTGTTTTGTGATGAACTCGTTCTTTTTATTTTAAAGCAAAAAACTATTGAGAAAAAAAAACAATCTGATTCTTCAAATGAGCAGAAACTAATTAAATTATTTAGGATTAAATATAAATTAAATAGATGTTCATTTAAAAAAAATAACAAAATAAAAAAACTTAAAGTGAAATTAGTGGCGAATATTGTTCAAATAAAATAAAATAATTAAATGTGTCTGAAACGATTTAAAGTTCGGTTTAGTTGCGCTTAGTTACATTTTATAAACTTGTTTCCTGCTGCTCTGCTCCGCAGCGGATCTGAACTCGGATTCACTCCGGTTCAGGTTCTAATGGGCCCAGCTTGGTTCGGAGCCGGGCCGAGGCCCCCGGGGGCCCCTGGCAGCATCACGGGACAGTTAAACCCATTCATGCTGATCTCTGTTATATTCATTAATTAATGTTATATTCATTAATTAATGTTATATTCATTAATTAATGTTATATTCATTAATTAATGTTATATTCATTAATTAATGTATTGACTTATTTTCTGGAAGACGTGTAAAAACTAAAAGCTTAAATGTGGCGTCAGTTTTGGAACAAACAAAAAATGAAGTTAAAATCTTGTTTTAAATTCCGCCCTGTCGTTTTGTATTTGATTCATAAAATATATAATTTTGTCCTTTTAGAATTCCCTCACGGCCTGGTGCGTAATATTTATTTCATTTATATTTTGTGTCAAAAAAGAGAAAAAGAAACTCGGTTGATTTTTTTTATTTCCCTCATAAAACAAATGACGCGAACTCGGATTAAATGTTTGAATAATTAAAGGATTAAATGGCGCTTTACTTAATCCAAACTTTGTGACTTGGAGAAAGTTGCAGGAAACTCAGATTAGTTGAAGTTATTATAAAATACAAGTTTGACGTCACGCAACATTTCCATCCAAACATCTTAAAATACTTTTTATTCTCAAACATCAGCGCAGATTTATGAACATTTAAATTATTTCTTGCATTTCCCTGAACATTGTTCTAGTTGAAAATCGGAGGAGCGGTTCGGACTGAGCCGAACCGGTTCGGGCCGTCATTTGTTCTGGAGTCACGCGGGACGCTTTTTAAAACTCACTTGAAGTTTTATTGTTAATATGTTGAAGGTTCAACGCGCTCATTATCTCTACTTCCGGTCGTTTGTTCTTCTTCGTGTCCTCTTTGTGCGCAGCCGCTGGAGCCGTCGGTCCAGTTCTATCTCGGGGTCCCGCACGTGTCCCGGCTCCGCTCCGACCCCCCCAGCATGATGTCTTATCTGAAGCAGGCCCCGTACGGGATGAACGGACTGGGCCTGGACCTGCTGCACCCCTCCATGGGCTACCCGGGTACGACCCCAACCCCACCAGCACACACACACACACACACACACACACACGCAACAGCTGTTTATTTATTTTTGTTTGTTTGTTTTTATTTAATAAAACCAGTGTCTAGTCGCACGTGTGTTGAATGATTTTACTGAAGTGTTTTTAATTTTTAAAGCTTAAAATGATCATTTTAAACTGCTTTCAGTGAAAGCAGAAAAATAAAATAAATTAAATCACACACACACACACACACACACACACACACACACACACACACACACACAGCTTGAGATCTTTTGGTTTAGTTCCATTTATTTTCTTGAATTCCAATAAAGAAAAAAAAACTAAATACTGAGAAAAGTTGTGCAACTTTTGCTTCAGTGTTAGTTTTCACATTATTAATTAATTAAATTTATTTATTTATTAATGTTATCTGCACTGCTCACATTTTTCTTTTATCGCAGCTCATATTTGTACGATTTAATCTGCAAAGAAGAGTAAAAGCAAAGCTCTTCAATAAATATTCATATTACAAGATACGCGTGAATCCCTTGCTTTGGTGATTTATGTTGAAGAAGTGGGCCTCGGTCTCCTGAGTGTATCTGCCCATGGTTTGTTTTTCAGCCAACCCTCGGAAGCAGCGCCGGGAGCGGACCACCTTCACCCGGACTCAGCTGGACATCCTGGAGTCTCTGTTTGCAAAGACCCGGTACCCCGACATCTTCATGAGGGAGGAGGTGGCCCTGAAGATCAACCTGCCCGAGTCCAGAGTCCAGGTCAGAAACTTTTCCAACTTTACTGGAGGAGGAGAAACGTCTCCTGAAATGTTCTGCCGGTCCTGATCTGGTCCAGAAACGTGTTCAGTTCAAGAGTCGGAGTCTGAGTCGAGGCCTGGTCCAGTCAGAGCAGCTGACTCCTCTCACAGCATCCGTGTGACTGCTGGGGAGCAGGGCTAACCATAAAAACTGTAAAATTATTATTATTATTATTATTATTATTATCATTATTAGTATTATTATTATCATCATTATTATCATTATTATTATTATTATCATAATTATTATTATTATTATTATTATTATTATTCATGCCAGAATTAGCATTAAGGTTCTGAAACAGTTCATTAAAATTTTCAGAGTCAAGTTCAAAAACACATTTAAAAAAATTATTTTTAGCTCTTGATTCAAATAATTTATTTTATTTGTCAGAGAGTTTATTAAAAATAACACTAAAGCAAAAAAAATAAAAATAAATGAATAAAAACACTGTGTCAGAAATGTTAAATGTTTTCCTTTAGAAAGGACCAGATTCTGACTTTTCGTTATATTTTCCTCAATTAATTATAATAATTATTATTATTATTATTTTAGTGTTTATGAAAGGATGGCTCTGCACATCCAACGGGCCCAGATGTTGCCCCTGGATGACTTTCAGCCACGCTCCAGATGTGCAGTAGATCAATTAAATGTGCTGATGTTGATTAGCAGTGGTGGCCATTTTGAATTGGACTGACTTTAAAAGTGAAGTGCACTCATGTTCAACGGTTATTTTTTGAAAGCTTCATTTGGCGCTTGATATCCGTTGCTGTAATTGCATTTCACGTTAGTGAGCAATAATTAAAATAAAAAAACTTGTTTGTAAAAGTTTCTCATGATGATCTTCTTCCTCTTCATCAAAACACAATCATTTGTCCACGGTCCGTTTAGTTGAGCTGATCAAAAATAAACTTGCAGAAAGTTTTCTTTAGTCCAGGCTGACGATGAAAACATGTTGAAGTTCAGCTCCTGTGGAAACATTAGTTTATAACAAACTTTGATCTCATAAAACTGAGCATTTGTTCGTGCACGCTCTCGCCTGAACGTCTGACTGATTTCAGTTCAAATGCAACATCTGACCCGTGACAACTGAATTATTTGGACCGAGACAAAAAACGGCGCATGAGAGCAGAAAGTTAAAGTGCAGCGCTCCTTAAAGGAATGCAGCTCGCCCACTGGTTGTTCTGGTCAGACCATTGAACAACCAGGAGCAGGGTCTCACACCAGCAGTCGGTGCTGGGATGACTCTCAGCTACTCCCACACAGTGACTGATGACATCACAGCTTCACCGTGTCGGTAACGTCAGTCTCAGACGTTTGGTGAAACCTCTGCAGATGTTTGATGTCGTGTTTTAAAGCAGAGGGCCTTCGGTGACGACGACTCTTCCTCCTCCTCTTCCTCAGGTGTGGTTTAAGAACCGCCGAGCCAAATGTCGGCAGCAGCAGCAGAGCACCAGCACCAAGCTGAAGCCTCTGAAGAAGAAGGCGTCTCCGACCAGAGAGAGCACTGGCTCTGAGAGCAGCGGGCAGTTCACTCCACCCGTACCGTCCAGCTCCTCCTCCACCACCTCCTCGTCCTCCTCCACCTCCTCTTCGGCCTCCTCTGGCCTCGGAGGGTCTGCTCTGATCAGCACCTCTACCTCCGTCACCTCCCCCGTGTCGTCCATCTGGAGCCCAGCGCCCATCTCCCCAGCCCCGGCTCCACCCAATCTGCCTGACCCCGTGGCCCCCACCAGTGCCTCCTGCATGCAGCGCTCTGCGCCCCCCTCCTCCTCCGCAGGAACCCCCTCCTACCCCGTGTCCTACAGCCAGTCTGCGGCGGCGTACAGCCAAGGCTACCCAGCCGCGGCGACCGGCTCCTACTTCAGCGGCGTGGAGTGCGGCTCCTACCTGGCACCCATGCACTCCCACCATCACCCGCACCACCCCCACCAGCTCAGCCCCATGACGGGCGGCTCCATGTCGGGGCACCCGCACCACCACATCGGCCAGACGTCGGGCCACCACCACCATCACCACCACCCGCCACATCCCCACCAGGCGTACAGCGCGCCCGGCCTCGCCTTCAACTCCTCAGACTGTCTGGATTACAAAGAGCCGCCGGCTGCGTCGGCCTGGAAGCTCAACTTCAACGCCTCCGACTGTTTGGACTACAAAGACCAGGCCTCGTGGCGTTTCCAGGTGCTGTGACGGCCTCCTCCCTCCTCCTCACTCCTCCTCAGCCCGCGCTCCTAAACAAGGATCCTAAAACCACCGTGGCTTGTTTTTGAAGCTCTTTCGGTCTTAAAGTAGAGAAACTTTCGTTTATGTAAATGGAGGCGAGCGCAGGAACTCCGAGTGCAGCTCGACCAGGATTATTTTTCTACTCAAGGACACAAAGCGTGACACTCGTGGAACCTGCAGTCTGGGACTGACTCGTGATTTTTTGAACTTTAAACCACGAGACGGGAGGAATAAAAACCACCTTCAGACTTTTCTAAAACCATTTAATTCTAAAAACAGGATGCTGCTATTGTTTATTTTTCAGGTTGCTGGTGCCCATTTCCATCTGGCCTGCAGCCTCACAGTTCTGGACTCTGGCCTGCAGCCTCACAGTTCTGGACTCTGGCCTGCAGCCTCACAGTTCTGGACTCTGGCCTGCAGCCTCACAGATCTGGACTCTGACCTGCAGCCTGTCACAGTTCTGGACTCTGGCCTGCAGCCTGTCACAGTTCTGGACTCTGACCTGCAGCCTCACAG